TCTTTCTGAGCTCCAATTTCTTCTTACCTATAATAGGAATACTATCTGTCTCACAGAGTTTTAAGAATGATTAATTATGTGGGGCGCCTGGGTGGCTCAGTCAGTTGGGCATCTGCCTTTGGCTCAGGTCATGCTTCCAGGCAGGGTCCTGGGATGGAGCCCTGCAGCAGGCTCCTTGCTCAGCGGGAGCCTGCTTCTCCCTCTCCTTCTGCCCTTCCCCCTTCTCGTGCTCTCTCTTTCTCAAATAAAGTCTTAAAAAAAAAAAGATTAATTATGATAGTGTACCTGAAAATATTTTGTATACTACACAACGTAAAGTGGCATTAACTCATTCCAACTAAATTAACTGAAATTCAAAACACAAATTCTTTTTATTTTTAACGATTTTATTTTTTAAGTAATCTCTACACGCAGCATTGCGTTTGAACTCACAACCCTGAGATCAAGAGTTGTACACCCTACCAACTGAACCAGGTGCCTCCTCAAAAGCACAAACTCTAAATGCCAATTTTCAAGTTAACTTCAATATTAACAAGCATATTGAAAGAGGTGCCTGGGTGGCTCAGTCGTGAAGCGTCTGCCTTCGGCTCAGGTCATGATCTCAGGGTCCTGAGATCGAGCCCCGCATCGGGCTCCCTGCTTAGCGGGAAGCCTGCTTCTCCCTCTCCCACTCCCCCTGCTTGTGTTCCCTCTCTTGCTGTCTCTCTGTCTCTCTCTGTCAAATATAATAAAATCTTAAAAAAAAATATTGAATGATTTCAGTATTTTAATATGAAAAAAATTTTTTTGAGAGAGAGATGGGGAGAGGGAGAAAGAGAATCTTAAGCAGGCTCCATACCCAGAGCTGAGCCCAACTCGGGGCTCGATTTCACAACCCAAGCCGAAATCAACAGTCAGACGCTTAACCGACTGAGCCACCCAGGTGCCCCAATATGAAGAAGTTGTTTTTTTTTTAAGATTTTATTTATTTATTTGACAGAGAGAGACACAGCGAGAGAGGGAACACAAGCAGGGGGAGTGGGAAAGGGAGAAGCAGGCTTCCCAAGGAGCAGGGATCCCAATGCGGGGCTCGATCCCAGGATCCTGGGATCATGACCTGAGCCGAAGGCAGAGGCTTAACGACTGAGCCACCCAGGCACCCCAAGAAGTTTTTAATGATATTTTTCATGAATATCTTTCTCTTTCTTTCTTTTTAAAGATTTTATTTATTTATTTGACAGCGAGACACAGCGAGAGAGGGAACACCAGCAGGGGGAGTGGGAGAGGGAGAAGCAGGCCTCCCGCGTTGCAGGGAGCCTGATGCGGGGCTTGATCCCAGGACCCTGGGATCATGACCTGAGCCGAAGGCAGATGCTTAACGACTGAGCCACCCAGGCCAAAAAAAAAAAAAATTATTTTTTTAATATTTTATTTATTTAACAGAGAGAAAGATAGAGCAAGCACAAGCAGGGGGAGCAGCAGGGGGAGAGGGAGAAGGGAGCACGGAGCCCGATGTGGGACTCGATCCCGGGACCCTGGGATCATGACCTGAGCTGAAGGCAGACGCCCAACTGACTGAGCCACCCAGGGGTCCCATGAATGTCTTTACTTTAAATATTAACAACATTGTCATTGACTGTCACCAGAAAAGGTACTAGAATAGTTTCCTTCAACTCTAGGTAAAGATATTTACTAGAAAAGATTAATCATAATTTCCTACCCATCTTCATCAGGTTTATGATAAAAATGTGTGTAATTCCATAAGATCAGTAAACTACCTGATTTAGAAATTATGCTCATTTAGAAATTATGCACACTTCTCTTTCAAATTCAAATAGTACTAGGGGCGCCTGGGTGGCTCAGTTGGTTAAGCGACTGCCTTCGGTTCAGGTCATGATCCTGGAGTCCCAGGATGAGTCCCGCATCAGACTCCCTGCTCAGCGGGGAGTCTGCTTCTCCCTCTGACCTTCCCCCCTCTCATGTACTCTCTCTCTCTCATTCTCTCTCAAATAAATAAACAAAATCTTTAAAAAAAAAAAAAACACCAAATTCAAATACTACTAGAAATATGAGACCAAACTCTGCTTGACCATGTTTTATAGAATTTCAGCAAGGCCATGTGTATTACCAAGGATGGAAAGTAATAATGTTAAATGTTTCAAGACAGTGCTGACTTTATAAATATTCTCCCCTAAAATTCTTAGATTTTCTTTCCATAGCCTTTAAAGTTTTGAAATAGTGATGCAAATACAAAACTCAAAAAAACATTTTATGATTGAATGCATAGCAATCATAGTAATGGAATTAGACCTTTGGGTTCATGTAATCAACCAAAAGTACAAACTCAAGTTTCCTTTAGGCAAAAATGACACTCGATTGAAAGGTTAAATCTGTGACAAATATAAATAGAATTTTTTTAAGAGTAAGAGAAGGGGGAAAGAACGCTATATTATGAATAAGGTTGTTGTGAGTCTAAGTACTGAACTTGCCTGTACTGAATTAAGAAAGTGAAAACCGAGGGGCGCCTGGGTGGCTCAGTCTTTAAGCATCTGCCTTCGGCTCAGGTCATGATCCCAGGGTTCTGGGATCGAGCCCCACATCAGGCTCCC